ACCCTGTTTTATGCCCAAAAACTAGCTTAAATGTATATTTAGAAGATAAAATATATTTTAAAGCATATTTTCCTTTAGAAGACAAACACAGTAACCCACCAGAGAAATTCTACTCATCATTTTTTCTTTATTTTTATTCTTAGTGGATGATTTATAATTCTAACATATTTGTTGCACTCCTGACCAAAAGCATTGGGGCCTTTAAAGTAGAATTGTGAAGTGAAAATTACATAAGAACTTGTTCTGTTGTTTCAGTGAAGTTGAAGAGGAATTACTTGAATTTTATGACAATGTTTTAGTGTGTTTATTTTTAATGTTCATTAAAAAAAATCACAAAAAGATAAAAACACATCTGAATTGATAAAATTGAAAAAGGAAGGATTTTAGTAATAAAACTGTCAATAATTTAGCACTAATTTATACAAAAAGATCATTATTAATTAATGAATACTTCTAAGCATGAATAGAAGTCTTTTCGTCACACAACTTGAGTCTTTTAAAAAATGTGTTGCACTCCTGACCATAGAAATATGGATCTGAAGCACGGACAGATCCTGTAATTGATAAATCTATTTGGTAAAAATGTTCTTTGTGTCTTTATTTTCCAAAATAAAAATCAGAAAATCATATAATGATAATAGTTTTTTCATGCCTGGGAGCAAAACATCAAATGTTGCACTCCTGACATTTTGGGGTATGCACATATACTTGACTCTCATTAATACTGCTTGTGATTTATATAACATTTTTAAGTTTTAAAACGTATATCAGTTATTATTTTACACTTCCGAAATTCTTTTTTGTCTTAATTTTCTATCAGAATTTTACAATTGATGTTTTTTTGGCAACACTACATTTTTTCTGTTGCACTCCTGACATGGTATAACATTTTTTTAAACATCAGCCATGACCACAACTTGATTAAACAAACGTTATGACAGTCCACATTTAAAGCTCAATACTTTGAATATTATCAGGAAAGTCTTTATTTTCAACATGAAGCATTATTTTTTATTTCACAGATCTCCAAAAAATATTGAAATTTCAAAATGTCACAAAAAGGTGTTGCACTCCTGACAATTTTAGCATCATTTTTGGGCATAACTTTTTTGTTAATTGAGATATCAATGAGATATTTGGCAGGTATTTAGACACTATCTAAAGACATAAGCTGAGACATAGAAATCTATTTTCATTGCCTGTATTTTTAGTGTGGGTTGATAAATATGCATTTGGTCATTTTTTTTAATTCACCCTTCTACGGGCTTAATGGCTGCTGTTATTGGCTGCTAGCTTCAGTCTAGTAAAGTAAATCTGGCATTTTCAGATATCACGTTGTTCACAGCATTAATATTTTTGGTGCCCCTACAGATTTCGATTGACCAGTTTGACTGCAATCTTTTACTTGTACTTTTTTTACTTTTGAATTTCATATCTTTAATATTGGTTCTTCAGCTATTTATGTAATGAAGCAGTTTTCACATAAGCTTTCGTTTTCATCTTCTTGGAAGAGATCACTTTTAAACAGCTATCAGCTCAGTTTAGTGACCATGCTTATTTTAAAAGTGAATTCCTTTGCGAGAACAATACAAAAAAGCATGGGGTTTTCTGTGATTAGTGGTTCCTTAATAGAACTTTTCAACTGTTAAAAATAAATTTAAATACTTCTACATTTATTATGATAAACAGTATATTGCATTCAGTTTTCACATAAGCTTTCGTTTTCATCTTCTTGGAAGAGATCACTTTTAAACAGCTATCAGCTCAGTTTAGTGACCATGCTTATTTTAAAAGTGAATTCCTTTGCGAGAACAATACAAAAAAGCATGGGGTTTTCTGTGATTAGGGGTTCCTTAATAGAACTTTTCAACTGTTAAAAATAAATTTAAATACTTCTACATTTATTATGATAAACAGTATATTGCATTACTTATTGAGTGACCCTCGTACGTATTTGACTAATTATTACATATCTGACTAATTATAACATATCTGACTAATTATTACATATCTGACTAATTATTACATATTTGACTGCACATTACCCTGCTGCTTAAAGACGATTTTAAAAAAGACTTTTCCTCTATATATTCCTTTGAAAAATTTTGACCCCGTGTTATGACCTCACCATATACATGTACCCTGGGGTTATGATGTAAACAAACTTGAATCTGCATTACCCAAAGATGCTTGCATATAAAATGACTAATATGGCCCTTCTGTTCTTGTCAGAAAAGAAACTATACTTTTCCCCTATATTCTCTTGCGAAAACTTATCCTGTGTTGTAGCCCAATCCTACCTCCAGGTACGATGATTTGGACAAACTTCAATCTATACTATATCAGGAAGCTTGCACATTATTGCATCTTTTCTGGCCCAGTGATTCTTGAGAAAAAATTTTCAAAGACACCAAAGATTCTGACACATCTGTTTCATAATTGTCTATTTTACTAGAAAAAGTCATTAATGGCAACCTAAAAACAAAACTTTATAAATTGATGATTTCACTTTTCTATCGTCAACTTCTCTTATTTATGTAGCAATATATCATTATCGCCTGCATATGGAGTGTGTCTCCCAGTTGATTCGATACGCAAGCGCATGCTCTAGGTACGAACAATTTCTAAATCAAGACAAGCTATTGACAAATAAGTTGAAGACACAAGGATATCAAAAGTCTCCTTTAAAGTCAACATTTCGCAAATTCTATGGTCAATACAATGACCTTGTTAGAAAATACAATCTATCATTAAGTAGAATGATGAATAAGGTTGTCCATATAAATTGTTATGCCATTATTTTCACACTGAATTGTTTACGGATTTTTCCGTTTGCCCGATAATGAAGAGGAGCACACGGAGTGTGTGGCCTGTCAGCAGGGGATGCTTACCCCTCCATGGCACCTGACCCTACCTCTGATGTTTTTAGAGGTCTGTGTTTGCTCTACTCCCAATTTGTATTCTTCCATAGGACTTTTGAGCTTGATTACTATTTGTTACCTTCATACTTCATTACAAATGTTTTGCCTTTTCTTAATTATATTCCTTTAAAAAAGCGATTGAACCTCCTGAAGATACCCTGTATCCAGTCTGAATATTGCCCACATGGTTCTGAAGATGAAAATGTAAGAGGTTATCAATCTTTCGTTCATAAAAGCCTTTTGCTCAGTTGCCCAAAAAATGATTGATACTGATATTAATGATCATATATTCATATGAACAAGCTAATTCAGAGAAATTGTGTCCAGCGAAAAAAGAAGAGCATGTGCGGATCTAGATTGGGGGGAGGGGGGGGGGTTCCCGGATTACCGCTTGTATGAAATCGGGCGCTGATGCATTAACTGTGCATATTGGTGCTGTTATTCGCCACTTCTCTTTGGCTATTTTCTAAATATATATTTTTCGTTTGACCAGCAATTAAATACTTGTGCTTTGTCTGAAAATATCACAGATTTTCGCTTGTCTTTACAACGTCCAGACGTCATATCTGCTTGTATGAAACTGTATTATATGTAATAACTGTGCTAAAAATAGTGCCATGCAACTTTTAATACAAATAAGGAGTAGCTCAAAAATTTTGAGCGAGATCGATGCCAACATTTCCAACTAACATTTGAATAAAAAAAAATGACGAAAAAAGGGGCGGGACACTTAGAGAGGGGCGGGCGGGGACATAGGGAGATATGGTATGAAATTTCATTGCAAAAGCCCAAAAGCTTCATGAGATATCGTCTGGAAACGAAAAGTGTTACACATAGACAGAATGTATGAATTTACGACCTCGACCTTTGGACCTCAAAATCAATAGGGGTGTAGGGGTATAGGGAGTTGTGGCATAAATTTTCGTTGCAAAAGCTCAAAGGCTTCTCGGGATATCGCTTGGAAACGAAAGTGTTATAACAGACATAATTATGACCTTAACTTTTGAACCTCAAAATCAATAGGGGTCTTCTTTAAGCCAAAGGGAGTTGTTATGTAAAGTTTCATTGCAAAGGCTCAAAGGCTTCTCGAGATATCGCACGGAAACGAAAGTCTTACAGACAGAAAAACAGACAGACAGACAGACCCAAATTAATATCCCCCACTCTCAGTGAAAGCGGGGGACAAAAAAGTCTAAAAATTGTCAAAATATGACCCAATGATAGGTTATATAATGCTAACAAGGTCACTATAACGACCATAGAATTTATGAAATGCTGATCTTAGGTTGTTGAAATCCCTGTAACATCAACTTATCTGTTGGTAGCCTGCCTCCATTTAAAAATTGATCGTACTTAGAGGATTTTTTTTTAAAAATAATAATGAGAAAAACAGTCTATCTGTAATTACACAAAAAATATATGTATCAAAAAAACGTTTTCCTCTTGGTAATCGAGCTACAGTTCAAAGACATGTGCACCTTACTATTTTGTAAATCACAAGAACAGAGATAAGCTACATAGCAATAACAGAATCTGCCAAGTCATCCACAACTCAATACAAACACTACAGTGAAAAATATTGGACAAAACACTCCCTGATTATAAGAGTGACAGTCTATGCATTACTGATATCAAAACTGTCAATCAATCTTCACAAGTAAAATAAAATTTCCCTCTTAATCAAAAAAGCACAATATTTACATTTTCAAATATTTTCTCTTAAGATTTTTTGCAAATTAGAAAAAGTTTACGTTCTCATGAACTACCGTGGGACGAGTAAGAATATTTCCATTGTGATGTGATTGAAGTCAAAATATAGTGCAAACTTTTTTTTTACAAAAAAGATTGTTGAATGACAAATATATGTGGCAAGTCATCAGAAAAATAATGTAAATATCAGATATGAATTTAATTTTTGAGAATTCATGAGGTACATGAACTACTACGCTTCACACCTGCATATTTATCATGAAGCGCTAGCGCGCTACATGAAATATGCTGGCGTGAAGCGTCATAGTTCATGTCCTCATGAATTCTCAAAAATGAAACTCATCTCTTAATTAAATACAAAACCACTAATACATTTCTAAAAATTTATTTTTATGTCACAATAAGAGGGATCCCTTAAGGACTGTAACAGCCTGGCCAATGAGATCAACTCTGTCCCCCTCCAGGACCCTCATTCTGACATCACCCCCACGCTGTGAACACTGCCGAGCTAAATTAACAAAAAAATTTAAGTTACTGTTTTTAATGAGAAAGTATTACCTTAAAAGGATTTGATAAATGATGATAGAAAATAAAGGTAAACCAACCTGCAATAATATTAAATATTAATTTATCATTATTATCTTTAAATATTCTTCTGTTTCCCATGATCATTTATAATGAACAAAATCTAGCTTATTTAACTTATGGTACCAATTGGAGGTTTTGATACCATAAAAAAAGTTTTACATGTATTAAGAAAATTCAAAGAAAATTTCCCAAGTACATGTACTTCTATTCTGATATTCCCTGATGTTCATGGATTTAATATTGTATATTTCTTAAACCACATAATTTTCAACATACACATATAGTCTATATATAAAGCAAATCATTTCACAAATAACAATAATTATTACATATCTGAGTCTAATATTTAATATATGTACAAGTATAATCAAATGCCAGACAATACCTGTGTAATTACATATATTTTCAAGTTACCTACCAAATAAATCTTTTTTACAGAGAACTTTCCCCCAGTAGTGGGCCAGAACTGTGTGTGCTGAACCTAAAGCATTAACAAGTATTAGCTTTCCTAAAAAGCTTGTCTTACTTGAGCAAATTTATTTTTACATGAAGAATCAAGAAAAGTTAAATCCAGTGTAATCAACATGACTCTGAGTCATGAAATGAATTCTTTTGCTAAGAAACAAAAAAAGTTCAATTCAGCAGATTCAGAATTTTTCCTTGAAAGTGTCCACCCTGAACCGAAAATTTCTGAAGTTTCTTCCAACAGGCCTGTTCATGGATACAAAGATATAACCAGTGCTTTTAAATCTAAACATCAATCTGTGAACAATTTTGATAATTAAGAAATGTTTTATTAAAAAAAAAATAAACGTGTTATAAATGAACTAACATTTTTGCATTTAAGCAAAAGAACATTCAACACATGTCTTTCACTTTTATATTTTTTTTAACTATGAAGAAATCAAACGTCTGCAAGTTATCAATATGTGTAGATTTATAAAAACTCTGAAGGTAGAGAGACTTAGTATGCATTGAATATTTATAAACATTCATTAGTTAATCTGATACAGATAATCGACAAATGTTGACCTGACCAGCTTCATTCCTTCTGTTTTGCTGGACATGAATGATGCATTCGAGAATGGCCAAATGTTATATAACCTGTAATGTATAATGTGATAATAATGACACGCTATAATGCTCTGGCTTGTTTGGGTATTTAGCATGTTTTCTTTACTCGTCATGCTCTCAAAATTGATAGTGAAGATAGTATGAAGTTTCCAGGATCAAGTTATCACAAGAATTCTATTGAACGACTTGACCAACAAACCTTGGCTAAATCTAATACTGTCTGACGCCATGATGTCAGACAAAAAAAAAAACCTTTCAAACTCTTCATTTTTGTGAATTTGTGCAATTTTTCTTTCTCTATAATGTACTAATACCTCATTAGAGTTTTACATGTACATTAGAATTAGAAGATAATGAGTTAAGGTCCTTCTTATATTTTAAAGTTCCCAAAATTTTAATTATTTTAATTCAAGTAATCAAAGATTACAAAGCTCATATCAATAAATATGATATTTAAGTTGGGCTAGGTCATATATCAAATGAACGTTCAATAAAACTTTTTTTTTCATCCTTACTGGGTACAATTTAAATAACACTGGGTACAATTTAAATAACACAGAAAACGTAGCATCTTATGCAAGACTGCAGTAGTATGCATCTGCAGAAATATCACCCATGCAAGTTTGGTCCAGACAGGGTTTATGGATACTTGGGAAAAGACCTGCTGCAAAAGCTTAAAATTGTTCACTCATTAGAAAATACAGGAGAGATGCAGGTTTATTTGACAGTACAACAGTCCCTCCCAGACCCACACCCTGTAAAAAGATGACGGTCTAAATATGGGTTGTAGCATGATTGGAAGTTAGCATCCAGAGAATCGTAATTTACAGGGGTTAAACATGGAGGATTGGGTATAGGCTGATCTCAACTTTGTTGAAGTATATGATCAAAAATTATTGCAAGCTGTCTAAATTACACGTATATTATTATGAGTTAAAACTTGGTACTTACAATATAATATACCCTAAAAATGATAATAATACAACAGAACCAAAAAGTTTAGACATTTATTGCCTGTAATAAATACTATTGCATTTAAAACATGATTTACCAAGTCTAATTCAAAAGTCCTGCAACTTTGCTTTGAAATAAAGGTTATGTACTACATGTATTGAAAATTGAGATCAAAAAAACATAATGTACCTGTAATATTGGGATCAATAAAACATAATGTACCTGTAATATTGGGATCAACAAAACATAATGTACCTGTAATATTGGGATCAATAAAACATAATGTACCTGTAATATTGGGATCAATAAAACATAATGTACCTGTAATATTTGGGATCAATAAAACATATTGTACCTGTAATATTGGGATCAACAAAACATAATGTACCTGTAATATTGGGATCAATAAAACATAATGTACCTGTAACAGGGTCTTCTGGAATCCCATTCCAGGGAGCAAAATATCGAGAAACAAAATCATACATCTCCCCTTCTAAACTGACGGCACCATTTTCCCGACTTCCTCTCAAGGTCACTATGACACCTTTGACCTTCCCAGTAGCCACGGCATCTACCATGCTGGAAATGTCTGGTCTCAGAGATTCTAGCTGGTTTCTTAAAAGGAAAAAATGACCAGTATATAACTATATAACGTTCAATATATAATCCTGACGTTTTGTCCAATAACATGTACTCTCATTTACTTATTATAAGGAATAGTGGAATTCATGATGAGCAATAACTCTTAGTGTAAGTGCAGATTTCTACATATCAGGTGGATACATGTAAAATTATCAATTTTCTTTTATACAAATATTAATGTTACTCCATTAATTTTCTTTGGCAGGTTATCTACCTTGTCATGTTGTCTGTAAGTCTCACAAGTAGTTTCTTTGTGTTGGGGGAATATTCAACTGCCTCTATACACTCGGAAGATATGATCAACTAAAAAAAAATGGTGTAACTTTATTTATCAAATAATAACTGTAATTAAAATACAAAAATTATCAGTTTAACTTAAATTGGTGAGGCGATAGAAAATTTCCTAGAGAGAGCTACTAAAAGTGTAAAATCTCTATATTTAGGTGTGAGATAAATATTGAGATAAGTGAGAGGGAAAATGCAAGTATTCCTACCAACAAACTCACCTCATCTTCTAACAATCCACATAACAAGGCCTACTTACATCTAATAACTTGCTGTAATCAGCTTTGTCCTGCATAAAAATAGAGACAAACATCACATTATTTGTTTCTCGAGTTCAAAAAAATGTTCAAAAAAGGCAGAAAAATAATACTGCATTTTTTTTCCATGGGGTCATAATTTTGTGGATTTACAATTTCTGTTCAATCTGCTGGTACAAAATTACATAAATTTCTTGGATAGCTTTGTTTGTCTTAAGTGCACTTTAAGTATGCTGTAAAAAATTAAAATAATGAACATATGCAAAGTGTAAATTAATTAGTACTACAGCATCTTTTTGTGCAACTTTACGTACATGTAGCCTTTGAGAATTATTTCAAAGTTTAAAAACATGCTGATTAGTCTTCGACTAGTACATTTGCATACATTGGTACAATACTCTAAAGATCATAGCAGTTATAAGATTAGTTTAGCTGTCTGCATTGGCATACACATAGTCCATGCAATCTGTCATAAATGGAGATTTTTTATGCATTAGAAACTGAACTCACCTGTGAAACTGTTTCATTCAGAGGAAAATTCATTACAAATCCATTTCCATCCTTAGATACCACCAATTCACCACTGAGGGAGTCAAAAGTAACACTTGATGAGGGATTACCTGGCAAGTTATAAAGATATTAAATTACCAATACAATTTAAATTGAATCAAAGTAGAAGAAATTAATCATTTAAGTTCTTCAGAGTAATAATAAATCATATTGAGACACATAAAGTGTACTGACAGGACCACTGGCTCCCTTGTTTTTTTAGCTTTAAGGTGAGGGAGGGAGACTGTGAGACTAGCAACCCAATTAAGTGAGGGTGTGGGGGGCAACACAGATATGGAATGAGAATGTGAGGGAGATGGAGAAGACATGACAATGTGAGAGAGCGAGGGAGGGCGACAAAGCTAGGATCTACCTTGAGGCTATACAACATGAGGCCTTTGCTCTTTCATCCTCACATTCTAGCTCCCCCACATTGTTGCCCTTGCATTTTTCCCATAAAGGAAAGGGACTGAGGACCCTACAAGTACACTTTAAAAACTTCAACATTAGAATTGATATAATAAACCATGTACTTTGATCGTAAACAAAAATTGTTAATAGGTAATGAACATTACCTAACTCATTGTATAAGACTGCAGCAGTCGCAAGTGTAGCGTGTCCACATAAATTCACTTCATTGGTTGGAGTAAACCATCGGATGTGAAACTGATTACCTATAAAAAGGATATAAACTTTACTTTTTTGTTAAAAAAATTTGCAAATGCCAATACATCTGTCACCGAGGTACAGGGCACCAGTAGATAAGGGGAACTAACTCTGACATTGCCCTAACCAAGAGACAGGGGGTCAGCCTATGTTTAGGCTTAACAACACCAAGATCGAATATGCATAGAGCTATAACTCGAAGGCAGCTAGACAGTTTTTACAATTTATTAGGTTACAATTTAGTTCAATTACTGTATAAACAATGATCAAATAAAACAAAGCCAAAACAAATAAATTGAAGTATGAATTAGGAGGTTTTAGTTGATAGATAAAATAAAAAGTGAAATAAACTTTTAAAATAATAATATAAATTTAGCCGCCACACTACTTAGTCTACTGGCAGACTGGTGGACAGTCTCTTATTTAGCCAGTGTATAGACATAAGCAGTGTGTCGTAGAATGTTCCAAAATATTCTGACTGTGGAATAAATTCCTAACAGTATATTTATAATGAAGAGGTTAATTAAGTATAATTATAAATAAGACATATAGAGTCACTGATGATGACCACTCAGATAATTATTTAAGCTGAAACCGAGTGACCATATGCCATTAATTACAGATAATTATCTTAACAGATTGAGTCTTGTCAAATCCTAAATGTCAATTAAACTTTAAAGTCAAATCCTAAATAGTTACAAAAAATATCTTTACACAAAATAGCACACTATGACATATTCCCCCCTACTCGAAAATGTTTGTCCTCAAACATAATATGTACATTATAAAAAGTATATATTTGAGAACACATCAAACATACAATATGCTGTACTAACAATAAAATGGTATCATTTAACATCATCAATTGATTATATGTACACAGTCTAGACTTATGAAAAGAAATTCATGAGCAAAAGCAAGACAATTTACCTCTTGAAATTTAATTCCCAAAAGTAGTAGGAATAAGAATTAATATGCGTGCACTCATACTAATCCTTAAAACTACTGTAACAGTAAAGACAATTGTAAATTTTGAGAGTATTATGGAATTAAGCAAATGAATTTCTTTGCATTTGGAAAAGAATACATGGATAACTACACATAATACATGTCACACTTTTGGCTACAAAGTTCATAGGTATGATCTGAGCAGATCTGTCGTATATAATCATCCTTGAAGTTTTCAAAGAAAGAGGCAACAATACTTGGGGGAAGAGATTCAATATTGACCCATTTTGGACCTATAGACGGATTGTCATGGCTCAAAAGGTACTGCGGATCAGTCTTTGGGTCAAATCTAACTTCATGGATTTCACGCCCCACACAAAACTGCCACGGTTCAGGAGGTGGTTCTCTCAGGTGTTGTCTGCGAAGATCGTCAATATCTTGTTGTAGTTGCAAGTCTTCTAATTTTGTAGACATGTATGTTAAGAACTTTGATGCATGTGATGGAACTGACGTCATTGGTTCCCATTTTGGATTTGAAGAACCAGTCTGAATGAGGAAGTATGCTCGGTCTCTCATGATGCGTATGGCTAACAATTCTTCTCTACCTTGGAATGTTGTGGTAGTGGACTCCCCAGTTGAATCATGCACATTCACTGAATTTGATTGAGAATTACCACTATTCACATTTTCTTTGGGTTGTTGGTCATGTTTGTCGAAGAATTTATGCTTGGTATGATGTAGGGGTCTCTTTCGCTTTTTCCCGCTCATAGTTCTGTCGGAATGGAATTGTCGCACTAGTTTAGATGGAATTTTACAAGGGAAATGCCACTCGGAGATTCCAGTTGTAAACTTCACTTTGTAGTAAAGGGTTCCATTTCCTCTACTGGATGCCAAGAGACGGTCAATCATCTCCTCACGGAATGGAGTGCAGCTACCACGGTTACAGTCCTGGCATGAAGGTTTGGTATCAGCAATAGGTGGATTTCCTGGTCGAATTTGTTGATTGCTGTTCCCATTCTTTTGCTGCGACTGTTGTCTTTGTCTTCCATTATTTTCTTGTCGTGGAATGTTCGTCCTATTCGGCAAAGCAGGTGCTCTTTGTTGATTATTGTTTCCATTCTTTTGCTGTGGTTGTTGTCGTTGTCTTCCATTATTTTCCTGTCTAGGAATGTTGGTCCTATTTGGCAAAGCAGGTGCTCTCACTCTTCCTGGAGGGTTGGCAAGTTGATCTCTAGGTTGTTCAATTTCATCAGGATCTAGTTGAGTGTTGTCATTGACATGTTCTGGAGGTGGGTTAGTTGGCCTGGTTAGAGGATCATAGTAAGGCTTTAAACGATGGGCACTCACCAGTGATTTCACCTCCTTGTTGTTGGCACAGTTTCGAATCCTGTATGTGTGGTTGTGTCTGTTCACCATGGTGATGTAATATGGACCAACCCATCGGCGATGTAATTTTGGAGCTTTACCAACAGGAACTTTGGTACAATATAGCCAGACTCTCTGAGTTGGGAAAAATTCTGGTTCCTGGGCTGTTTTATCATAGCGCTCTTTGTTCTTTTGTTGGGCAAGTTCAATATTTTTGGATGCAATTTTCCTGGTTCTTTCTAAATTCTGTAAAATTCGTCCAAGAAATATTTTGTGATCCTGAGCTAAATGTTCTTTGGGAACTAAAGCGGTATCAATAGGCAGGCACATCTCTCTTCCATAGAGCATGAAGAATGGTGAGTACTCTGTAGATTGAGTTGCAGGAGTGGCTCTGTATGCCATAAGGATCCCTGGGAGTAGAAGATCATCCCAGTCATCTTGCTGACCCATAGCGTAACTGCGAATGGCTTGGAGAATGACGGAGTTCATTCTTTCAACAGATCCATTGGTTTGCGGGTGGTAGGAGCTTGTTAAATGTCTTGTGATTTGGAACATCTCTGATAGAGCTTTCACAAGATTGGAAACAAAATTCCTCCCGCGATCTGAAATGAGAGTCCTTGGTGCTCCATACCTTGATATTATCTCCTTATACAGAACTCTTGCAATCTCACCTGCTTCTTGTGTTCGCAAAGGAAATGCTTCAGACCATTTGGAATAGCTGTCAACTACAAGAAGAATATGTTTGTGTTTGTTTGGAGTAGTTGGAAGTCCACTTAATATGTCCATGTGCCATCGTCCAAAGATGTCATCACTTATCTGAGGTTTCAGAGGTGGACGTTTAGCTCCATAATTCCTTTTGCACTGTTGGCAGGTTTCACAAGTCTGAACATATCTTTTAATGTCATCATACATGGAAGGCCAAAAATATTTATTTCGGAGGGAAGCATATGTCCGTTCAAACCCTTGATGTCCACCACCAAGAATACAGTCATGGTAGGATTTCAGAACATCATCACGAAGGATGCGAGGAACTGCAATTTGCTTCACCAAACGCTCCTGTACAGGGACTTTCTTGCCTCGTTTGGAATAGAAATGTTTCAATATGCCGTCTTCTAGTTCAAAGTTGTAGGCTTCAGCTACAATGGTTCTTGCCAGAGCTGGATCATCAGGGAGTTCTCGAGTTAATTTGTACTTGTAAATTTCTCTAAAGTCAGGACACTCTTGGTGATGTTGTTCAATGTGATTTTCATCAAGTTCTTCTTGAGGTGGTCTTTCTTGTAAACTTGCAATTACTTTTTCTTCTGATTCTCCTTGGTAGAATAATATGGTTTCTGTGTATTCTTTGGGGCTAACAGTGTAAAGATGTTCACTTAAATCGGAAGAAACTGATGGATCAGAATTGCTGTGTAATTGTCTTGATAGGCAATCAGCTGGATTCTTGCTTCCTTCACGGTGGATGATTTTAAAGCTGTATCCCTGAAGTAGTAGGCTCCATCTTCCCAAACGTCCTTGACAATCTTTGATCTTCTGTAAGTACTTCACAGATACATTGTCAGTAAACACAGTGAATTCCTGGTTGGCTAGGTAGTGCTTGAAGTGTTGAACTCCTTCAACGAGAGCTAAAGCTTCCTTGTCTGTGATGTGCCATTTTAATTCAGCTCCACGCAAGGATCTTCCTCCATAGGCTATTGCATGTTCTCTTCCATTCTGAAGCTGGCTAAGCACATATCCTGTAGAATGCTCAGAAGCATCTGTTGACAGAATGAATGGTTTGTCAAATTCAGGGAAAGCAAGGATTGGAGCGGTGATGAGGGCATTTTTCAAAGTGTCAAAGGCTCTTTGACAATTCAGTGTCCATTGAAACTTGACATTTTTCTTCAGTAACGAAGTAAGTGGTGATGCAATGCGAGCATAATCCTTGACAAATTTCCTGTAATAGTTTGCCATTCCCAGGAAACTTTTCACATCTTTGGCAGTCTTTGGAATTTGGAAATTTTTCACTTTTTCTGTATTTTCTGGGTTGACTTTAATTCCATGTTTTGAAATTATGTGTCCAAGATATTTAACTTCTTTCTGTGCAAATTTGCATTTGGAGGGATGTAATTTTAGATTAGCACTGCGTAAGCTAGAGAATACGAGGTGAAGGTGGTGTAGATGATCATCAAAGTTCCTTGAAAATATTAAAACATCATCAATGTACACTAAAGCAATTTTGAAATTGAGGTTCCTGAGGACTTTGGTCATCAGACATTGGAAAGTCATCGGAGAGTTCATCATGCCAAAGGCTAACCTGTTGAATTCATACACGCCTTTGTGGGTAATAAAAGCACTCTTGTGTTTTGTAGCAGGGTCTAATGGAACTTGCCAGAATCCAGATCGAAGGTCAAGTGTTGAGTATATTTCTGGCTTGGCATCAGCTAGTGTGTCAAGGATATCAGACATATGTGGAATGGTAAAAGAAAGAGGCTCAGTAATCTTGTTTAAAGCACGAAAGTCAACACAGAACCGATACTCATTATTGCGTTTCTTCACTAGCACCACAGGACTATGAAATGGTGATGTAGATTCTTCTATGATACCATGTTTCTCCATTTCTTCAAGCTGCCGCTCCAACTCAGCACGCATCTGAGGAGACTGGCGGTATGGCGCAGAACTGACAACTTTATCACCTATTATCCTTCTATATGAACTAAAGCATTTGCAGAAGGTCAGCATACTTCAAAATTGAATAAGATTTACTGACATTCAACTGACTAAAAGTACTAGAGATGAAATGAAGAAATTAAACATTACCAATTCCACACAAAGAATTTCTGTACCTTTATTTCTCACTTATCTAAGAGTGAAAGAACATGAATAAAGTTGTACTTATCTTTGTTTATGTGTGGATTTACCAGTATCTTCATCTTGGAGGTACATCTCTGTAAACTTAATTTTCAGCGCCTCAAAAATATTCCTACTTTTGCCTTCTAATTATAGCATCAATTCACAATGCATACCCGGATTCTCCACCACATCTGTCACCGAGGTACAGGGCACCAGTAGATAAGGGGAACTAACTCTGACATTGCCCTAACCAAGAGACAGGGGGTCAGCCTATGTTTAGGCTTAACAACACCAAGATCGAATATGCATAGAGCTATAACTCGAAGGCAGCTAGACAGTTTTTACAATTTATTAGGTTACAATTTAGTTCAATTACTGTATAAACAATGATCAAATAAAACAAAGCCAAAACAAATAAATTGAAGTATGAATTAGGAGGTTTTAGTTGATAGATAAAATAAAAAGTGAAATAAACTTTTAAAATAATAATATAAATTTAGCCGCCACACTACTTAGTCTACTGGCAGACTGGTGGACAGTCTCTTATTTAGCCAGTGTATAGACATAAGCAGTGTGTCGTAGAATGTTCCAAAATATTCTGACTGTGGAATAAATTCCTAACAGTATATTTATAATGAAGAGGTTAATTAAGTATAATTATAAATAAGACATATAGAGTCACTGATGATGACCACTCAGATAATTATTTAAGCTGAAACCGAGTGACCATATGCCATTAATTACAGATAATTATCTTAACAGATTGAGTCTTGTCAAATCCTAAATGTCAATTAAACTTTAAAGTCAAATCCTAAATAGTTACAAAAAATATCTTTACACAAAATAGCACACTATGACACATCTCTTTCATATCAGGAATTTATGTACCTACCCAGTGGGTAGCTAAAAGAAAATTACTGTTTTTAAAGAAAGCAAGAGGTTTGGAGCAGCCTTTAGTCCCCCAGCTGATACAGGGTAGCACCCTATTAAGGGCCCAATGGGCAAAACTCCTACTAGAATTCTAGAGTTTTGGGTGATAAAATTTAAATTTTTTACTACCATGATTCTACTAAAAGAGAACAAAAATTTTTGAGATTTGAAAATACATTACAGCTCTTTTAAAATCTATTTCTTCAAAAATATTTCTGGTATTATATTTGTACAAAATGCTTTAAAATTTTCAAATAACTAGTACTTGAACAATGCAATGAATTTGGGTTTTAAAATTATTATTATTATAAACATAATGGTATTTCATTCATTCTTATTCTGTCAATGACAAATTTAACTAAATTCAAAATGTTTAAAAGCTGGAAGATGACATTAAAAATGTATGGACTTGTCCCAAGCTCGATAAGAAACTTAAAAAGGTATGAATGTAAAATGTTCCTACACAGGTACCTGTGGACAGGATTTACAATAACGCATGTATTTTTTTCTTTTTAATAAAACATTTATTCTAGGATATTTTTTTGGAATTTCCTTTGTACATTGTAAATGCGTGATAGAAGAATAATTTATAAAAGAAGACAAATAAAAATATCCTTGGACCCATAGTGTAATATTGGGGATGGGGAGGGGTTCCTGTTCACAAGCATCTGTGTGTACATTTACATCTGTATTTAGTTTGAGCTTTAATTTCAGTTAGTACATAAATGTACAAAATTACATTGAAATCATCCTCACAATCTCAGGGCACAGGCACTTGTTTCAGTAATAAATTTTTGACCCATAGTATAATAATAACACAAGGTATCCAACTCCGAATTACATGGAGTACCCCCCTCCCCCAGAATCGCACTCATTTACACTTTCAGAGGAAATGCACTGGCAAACTGTTTATACCCATGTCTTCTACGATAATTTATCTATGCAACCATATATGGCATGCTTGTCTTTATCTTCTTTTATCTCCGTAAACAGCGTCAAAACCCTGCTCGCCGAGGGGAAAAGTCGAATTCAACCATGAAATGGTATGTGCTAATCCTGGGCAGAAAACAAAATTAAAAAATGAGTGGGTTTAAAAATTCAATTCCAGTGTTTAAATATTGAATTGATAAAAAAAATTTGTTTAACTCTCATTTTCCATAAAAACACTACGATATTTTTCTGATGTAATTTTAGAAACAGATTTTTAGCCAATCAAAATCTCTGCCCGGGACTAGCACATACCTTTCCATGGTTGAGTTCGACTTTTGCACTCTGCGAGCAGGGTTTTGACGCTGTTTATGGAGATAAAAGAAAATAAAGACAAGCATGCCATATATGGTTGTGTAGATAAATTATTGTAGAAGACATGGGTATAAAAAGTTTGCCAGTGCATTTTCTCTGAAAGTGTAAATGAGTGTTATTCTGGGGGAGGGGGTACTCCATGTTATTCGGAGTTGGATACCTTGTGTTGTTATCATACCAAGGGTCAAAAATTACAGAAACAAATACCTGTGTCTCACTCAGGGTTCCTGACAAACTTCAGTCACTTTTTTATGGATTGACTTCAGCGATGTCTTTCTCGGAAATTACAAATCCTGATTGTTTTTTTTTTTTATCTCTCGACTAATCACATTAAGCTGTAACATGTACATTGAGGTGTCAACTGCTTAGTGCTTCGTTACTGTTTACTTTTGTCAATTTATGAAAGCCCCATTTTGATAAGCACTTCTAAATGAAAGAAACTGACACAAAAAAGTCTAATGAAGTTTATCAGGGGGTTTCATGGCCACGAGTGGAGTCAGGACCTCTGAAGTTGCTAGGATGGACTAAAATATACCCTTTAAAAATGAGCCATTCTTCTCTTTGTTGCGCAAGAAAACTGTTTCTGACAATTTCATCTCTGCTGCAATTCTCTGCATCTGTACTTCGGACAGGTCCTTTAAATATTAATAAATTTGACTGTCTTAAACGTAAAGTTCAGCTTCTTAAAACAAGGGAACAGTTCACAGTTATAGATCTATATCTACGGTTAAAGAAAAAGATAGTTTACAACTAACGTGCTCAGGAGAAACTAAACAAATTGCTGCTGGATTCCCCTCAAATGGTACCCGTGTGAACGCATCCACTGTATATATAGGGATTTCCATGTCCAGAAAAGATCAGAAAGTGAGAAACGTGAAATATTCTCGGAATGTTCGAATTTCCTCTATGTCATTGAATGTCGGGATCGGCATACAAATTTCACTTTAGGTAAGTCGTACATTTATGTGATTCATGGTATTTGCCATTCTTGAAAGAAAAAAATAAAGATACGTGTTATATTTTAGCAATGCACCAATGAAATTACAAATTGAATAAAATTTAACAAAATAACTTAACATATGTAGTTTGAATAAGCTTTTTCCGAAAAAAAAAAAATGCATCCTGGCACAATAAATAGTGATTATGTCCACAGGCACTGGGGGTATGGACCTTTTTATGTATCAGTCGAAAACGATATATTTAACAGTTTAAAAACAGCTTATAGAGGTAAAAGAGTTACATTATTGATAACATATAGTGCATATTAGAATACAAAAATAGGAAAAAGGTTTATCGACCCCAGATTTAAAAAGAAAAAAAATGGAAAAGGAGGGGGGGGGGTAGGTCCATACCCCAAGTGCCTGTGATTATGTCAAGACAGCTTTGACTATTTTTTAAGATAAAGATCCCAACTGGGGTATTTGAATATGAATGAACACAACTAGCAAATAAGTAAACATTTAAACAAGAATGCATGAAAGAGTGGCACTAATGTTACTATATAATACAATGTAGGCTACATGTATTCTGTATTTCAGAAAATCAAAGCCATTGGAGGTCTCTGCGAGTATATAATGTAAATATGTAAGTTACAACATATGTTTCATTGTTATTAGTAATTAATTACTGACAATAATTTTTTGCAAAATTTGGCAAGTCCAAAAATGACTTTAGTGTCATTACAATTCAGTAGATCATGAAATTTTATAATATTAATTAGGACTTGCATAAAAAAATGGTACCATTTTTTTCCCCAATTCTCTTTTAAAGACAGCACATTTTAAGAGGTAACGGAATTCATCTCCTAAATTGTTAGAGGAACTCTCAACTCTCCCAAAATGATTCATACATCGAAGCTTACATTAAGTCTTTTTCAAATCCCTTGTAAGATAAATTAAATATTTCTCAAAACAATTAACGTTCTAATTTAAATAATCTATAACTAAAGTTTTTTTGATGCATTAAAAATATGTTGTAACTTTTGAATTTAGTAAATTCAAAAGTTACAACTGAATTTACTTCCAACATAAATTCAAAAGTTACATAGCAACCAATTCTGCTTAAATTGATCCATTAATCTTTCTTTTAAACTAATTTAGACACACCAAAAACTGACAATTCATTAATAGTCTTCACATATGATAACAAAACCTTATCTGTTGTTGATGAATTTGTTTACTTATGTGTAATTATAACTTTTTCTAGCAATGGATCTTTTGCGCTAGCAGTAAAAATCAAGCTACTTGAATAAGTAGGAAGGTACATTGTGTATGTTCAGTTTCCTTAGAAAGTAAAACTTAGATTCAGCTGAAGTACTTGACAGTATGATTGTACCCATTTTATTGTATGGTTGTGAAGTGTGGAGCTTTGACGAATAACTGACTTTATAAAGACAGCATAAACTGATTAAAGTTCACGTATATTGGAATATGAGGGTTGTCTCCTCTTACGCATTAATTTTTTTTCAAAAAAGATGCCATTAGTCCAGTTTAATATTTCAACTTATGTTTTAAAGGGTAATTCATGATTCATATACCATGCTCAATACGTATATCGTAAAATATCTCCGCAAAGATGGATTTCAGCTTTCAATTCAATCTTGCACAAAGGGCCTGGTACTCAAAAAATCGCATTTTACATGTTTAAAGTACAGCAACTCTCGACTGAATTCCTTGCTATCATTTGCGTTTTCTCAACGTCCACTATTTATATGGTAATAGTTTTATCTGTACCGAAATAAATGCATGTAGATCTATTACCTATGTCTATCTACATGTATACTAGTATATTGTATGTCCATAATTACGTGCGTGATCGACTTGGTGTATCCCTTTCTAATAATACGTATAGATCTAGATTGGGAGACCAAGAAATCAGCTTTATATAAAAGAGTATCTCGTTTCTGAGATCAAGGGAGTAAAGAAAACAGAACTCTTCGGAAAAGTCTTTAATGAAAGAACTGACCAGATCGTTTTGAAGTGGGGTTGATGTTCTTTGTCTTTGTGATTAGCGGTCAAAGACATTTAGCAAACACGTATACCTTTCTTTTTAATGTAAAGTAAATTAATGGCTACGAACTGACATATATTCTTGATCTGCCAAAAATGGAAATATTTAAAAGGAGTATTAGAATACGGAAGACGGTAAAAATAAACGATGTAAAGCCATGAATCCTTTTTTTTTTTTTTTAATTTCTTTATATATAAGATTATCTTGCTTCTAAGTCAAGAGAACAGATGGAAAAATCTTTTTCAAGGAACAGCCTACAATACGAAAACGTAACTATGTAAAATCGGTGTTTGTTGAATAAATAAAGATATCAATGCATTTTAGTTGATTTCGAAACGTCTTATAAATTATACTGTAGAAGAATTTGACAATTTACAGAATTTTTTTTAAAAACCATTCCGTGCTTGTCAAAGATCAAGAATTTGAAGCTTTGTACCCCCCCCCCCCCCAGTTTGGCATTGTATTACTTGTCTGTCTATTGTCTGTAATAAAAAAATCATTAAACATTTTATACACACTTGCTGAATGTTGTTTTTCACTCTTTTCAATGGATTGCAAATGGAATCTTTTGACTTATGACTTTAAAATCAAAAAATATTTATTTTATGCGCAGTGTAATAAATCCCAATTTTCAAAACGTCATTTTCCCTAGAGTTTTGGTCCAATTGAGTAAAAATTGACCAGACTAAGATACACATTTCTGTTTATCTGTTTTTGATTTCGAAGAGCGATAATAAAATTGTTACTAAAAATAGATATTCTGTGAAATTCTTTCAAAACACTACTTCTCCCACAGTTTTGGTTAGATTTCAGTTAAACTTGGTTTACAAATAGACTACAATAAGATACATAATTCTGTAAATTTGGTTTTCAATTTCAATGAATGATATTGTCATGGTTACTTAGTTTCTGTGAAATTCTGTCAAAGTGCTACATCCCCTACATTCTTCTGATTTCATTAAAATTTGGAATACAGATATACTACACCATGGTACATATTGAAATTCCGATGAACATTGTTGCAGTGGTTAATAAAAAAAAGAATAATGTGTGATGTGAAATTCTTTCAAAACACTAACTAAATCTACAATTTTGGTCCACTTTCAATAAAATTTGGTGTGCAACTAAACTAAACTAAACTAAGACATATAATTCTTTTTATCGATGTTGCCATAGCTTCTAAAATAAAGATCATGTATAACTCTTTCAAAATGTTACCCCTCCTTTAGTTTCAATTTGATTGCAACAAAATTTGGTACAAGTTAAGAAAACATCAGGACAATTTTGTAAATGTAAAACTGAAAATTAATGTGTTTCCTGTCCAGGTGATCCTTGTCTCGTATAGACCAGTAGCGCTACAATCCCATCAGAGACTTCTGGTTCATGTTCTCCCTCTCAAAACTGGTCTTTCAGGGTTCTATGGTTCCTTTATTAGTATTAATTGCGAAAGTTAATCGAAGTTTGGTGTAAGAAAATGTCTACCTCTTTTAATTCTGTTTCTTTTATTTACCACTTGTGTCGATCTGAAACTGCAAAACTTCAACATTGATTTAATTTACTTTTCAAGCCATTTTAAAGTCAGTTTAAGAAAAACGTTTTTAAAATCATTAATTAAAAATTAAATTTGAGAAAAATTTTTTAATCACCTATACGGTTTTCTGATTATGAAAATTCATTTGAAATGGCGGCATTTTCAGATTCTCCCTCAAGAAACTCACGTGTCAGCGCTTCATTGACAACAGGTATAACGAATACAACACTATCGATTAAACTGTGTATTTTTTTTAACATTAGGTTACAATTCTCTTACTTACTCATGCCCATACTAAGAAAACAACACACGATACCGGTGGTTAGAAAATCGCTCAGGTACTGGCGCCACTGAGATCCGATTATCCGGGGTTTTAGCCCCAGACTGATCATACGCGCTAACTTTGACACGCAGGGTGACATAAATTCCGTACTTATTTCAATAAATCGTTTCTCTTGGCGGTTTTACCAACAGGTTTTTTACTTCCAAAAGAACAAGAAAAATACCCGATTAAAATTATTTCCACTTGACTTGCACCCTTTTTTTGCAAAAGTGTCTTTATCCCTCTTACCATTGTGGTGATAATGTCCGGTATTTAGCAAATCGCCAAAGGCATTGGTTTATTTTAAAGACATGTTAAGTGTATTATCTGCATTACAAGTGTGTGTAGGTTTAGTCTCTTAAAGCATTTTACTTATATAGAGTTCATTATTCATGGCCATTCGGAGTGACTTTCAATAACAGGCGTACTTTAAAAAGATTATCGCTTGAAATGTTTGACAAAGATCAAGATAAATTATAAATCTTATATTAGATCGCAAGAAATTGATGAAATTACAATTTAATTTAATATTGATTCATATACTGAAAATCATTATTCATTCCATTTATACAGATATCAATTTTTTTTAATGGGCTTAAAAACGACAGATGTTTCTAATGCCCGCGGACATAGTCAAGAATAAAAAAAAAAACTCAGTAAATTGTTCAGAGAGTCGAATATTGTAGAACTGTCAAAATATTGAAAAGATGCAATATTGCGCCAAATATCTAAAATATGCAATGGACGTTCTATAAAATCGAATTTCGCTTTTAGCGCGGAAATGGAAACACCTGGCATTGCTGCCTAGGAAACTCCGTCATGATACACCTGTTCGCGCATAAACACGATTTTGAGAAAGAATTATTTTGGAGTTATATGTCAAGATGCATTTAACACTGACTTATATAGCAACAAGCTTAAGATTTTTTTCATTAATATAGTTTGGTGACATTTGTAGCAGCGATTCTACAGCAGTATCTTCAGAAATAAAGTTATTCCCTGGACATCATTGTAAAATGACTTTATAATTAAAAATGCCTTTATTA